AACTAAGTTTGGTCGCTGATTATATGGGTTTTAGTGAATAAAAAATTTTTAGTAGCCCAAATTAAAGTTTTTTGGCGACTAAAAAACTTTAGTAGTCAAAAGTCTACACTTTGCGACTAAAAATAAGTTTGGTGGCTGATTATATAGGTTTTACTGACTAAAAAAAGTATAGTAGCCAAAAGTAAAGTTTTTTGGTGACTAAAAAAATTTTAGTAGCCAAAAGTCTACAATTGGTGACTAAAAAATAAGTTTAGTCGCCAAAAGTGGTTATTTTTAGCGCGGAAGAACTAAAATCCTAAGGAGGAAATTAAATTTTTTGGCGACCAAAATTTTGGTAGCTGAAAGTGCATCTTCGGCGACCAAATCCGATTTTGGTCGGCAAAAGTTAAATTTTTTAGCAACTAAAAAATAATTAGTAGCCAAAAGTATAGAATTGGCGACTAAAAAATATTTTTAGCCGTCAAAAGTGGTCTTTTTTTTATTTTGCTAGTAAATAGTTTATTTTACATAAATTATGTTTAATAAAATAATTATGTTTATACATATATTTTTATATTAATATGGATGTATGTACTGTATAAATAATATATGTTGCATATATAACCATGTGGTGCTATAGAGGTGTAGTGAGAAAAGTGTGGTGTATAAGATTTATGGTGCGAGAGGTTAGCGGTTCGAGTCTCCGCAAGAGCGGATCAAATTATTCTACAACGAATTATTGTCACGAATGGCACTTGATAGCGTCACGAATAGTGCCTACCATGACATTAAAGTGTCACTGAAAAGTTTTAGTCTTGATGGTGTAATGACACTTATAAGTGTCACTAACTCTTTTTTTAATGGCGCTTGATAGTACCACAAATAATATCTATCATGACATCAAAATGTCATCGAAAATTTTTAGCCATGATGGTGTAGTGGCACTTGCAAGTATCTACCGTGGCACAGATACAAATGACACTTATTCAAAATGCCACAAGACAAAAAAATATCATCAAATCAATAATTTTGTGACACTATCAAATGTCACTAAACTAAGAAAATATTGTAATGAAAACAATGAGTTTCAAGTGTATGTTTTTGATTAGCAAAGTTTCAAGTGTATTTATTATGTAGACTATATTACTTTTGTGTCTAACAATAAGAAAATTTAGTAAAAATTTCATTTATGCACACATTAATCATTATAATAAGATGCCTAAAGAAGTTTTGAACTTCATCCTCTTTCATTTATCATTAACCAATTCCAATATTCTACAATCACTCATATTTATATACAATGAATCCAACTAACAATCTAACAAACACTACAACTAACTTGTAACTAATTCTACAAATATCTATCTAAATATCTAACTACAATATCTGAGTTGATGACTCAGCAAAGCTGAGCTTGAAGCTGTGGTTGGAGTTGCAAGTGAAGCTGGTTCTTGGAGCTAGAGTTGAAGCTGCTTCTGCAGCCTAAGTTAGCTGAGATAGCTGAGCTATCTGGGAAAGGATCCTCAACAATGCCACTAAACCGAAAAAATTCATACAAAAAATAATAATAATAAAAAAAAAGAGAAAAAAATCTTTGTAATTTTAATGACCACAAGAATGTGGGGAAATCCAGTCATGATGAATTGAAGTAGGAGGTTTGAATTGGTATGTGGCCAAGGGATGAGCTTATAGGGTTTCAATTGTGAAAGTGTGCTGTCTGGTTGGGGGGAAGACCATGTTGTGTGAGGTTTGACCATTCAACAATCCTAACACCTCCTCATGTAGAGCAAGGATCCTCTAGAGTGATTTTTCCCTAAAGTTTCCTAGAGTGTTACATTGTGTGGTTGAGATTTACTGGTAAGTCACATCAATTTTTCTGATGTGACTTGCCAGTAAATCTCAATTGAATGTATATTTAGTTTTAGTTGTGAATCTTAAAAAAAAAAAAAAAAAACATATGGGGAAATTAGTGGGTATCCATCCCCAACCCATCCCCTGTGGATATTTAAAGAATATCACCTACCCTATCCAATGGATAAGAAAAAGAGGGGAAAACCCATGTATTTGGGTTGGGTCTCCATGGATACCCACAGGGTAGGTTATCCATTGCCCCCCCCCCCCCAAATGAATTAAATTTATAAAAATTTTAGAGATTTTATAAAAATTTTAGAGATTCTAAGTAAAACCCAACTGCTTTCACTTGTCTCAGACATAGCTTGTGTGCTCTCTCCACACACCCCCCCCTCATGAATTAAATTTATAAAAATTTTAGAGATTCTAAGTAAAATTATCAAATTTTTTTATACAAGACTTATATATAAGTGTGAATCCTTTATGCTGTAGGTTGGTACTTATTATGTAAAATATTTGATAATCTATTTAAGATTTTTAGCATTACTTTCTGGTCATGTCGTGAAATAACTTGTGACTTGGATTTAGGAATATTTTTTTATATTTTTTTATTAAAATTAACTTTATTGATGAACAAAAAATGAACAACATACGTCAATAAAAATGATGAATGCACAAATATCATAACAAAGCGAAACAATCTTAACTAAATTGGGACCATTTAGCAAAGCCGAATTATCTACAAGTATCATATCAAAAGTTGATGAGAAACCAACCAAGCACAAAACAATCTCTTTCTAATTTACCTGTTTATTTATTTTTTCTAATCTAAACAATCTTACTTTTTAATAAAACAAAAATGTATGAGAAACAAATAAAATAACAAAAATGATTTAGACCTCTAAAAGAGGAGCTCTAAATGAGTATTAATTTGTCTTTTTATTAATTTGTCTTTTTATTCTTCTTGTTTTGTCTTTTGCTTATTTTTTAATTTTTTTTTTTAAAAATAGGATGCCACCTCAAAGCAGCTCTACTAGTGCTATGTAGCACTGCTAATAAAATAATAAGGTATTGCGTCTAAAGTCTGACACACACCTCCTCACTAAATTCGAATTTTTTAAAATGATTTTTGGTAAAGTAATTTTATAGGTATTTTTTGAATAATTAAGGTTTAATTTTATAAAAAAATTCAACCATATAAAAAGGAAAATTTTATTTTTAGACACTTAATTATCTCAGTATATATCTTCTCTCAGTACACACATTTATTAATTTGATTATTAATTAATTTTTTCAATCTACACACTAAAAGTTACAATTATACCTTTCACTCATAATAATTGTATACACACCACTCAATCTTCATTTCCACATAGTTGTTGAGTGACCATTCTTTTAGATTTGTAAACCCATTGTAAACCTACGTGAAGACCATTCAAGACCACAGTGTGAAGTGAAGACACCATCCTCCATTGAAGACTCTATTGAACCTCCATTAAAAATACCATGGAAAATCCTTCAAAATATTATTGAAAATGAGACATCTTTTTATTTTGTTATAATATTTACCATTTTGTTATTGCATTTACCATTTCCAGATCTTTGTGCACTCCATTGCCATAAAACCCTCTTCTTCTTTTTTTAATTTTTTAATTTGTTTTTATGTTTTTCTGTTTGGAGATTTTGGCACTGGTTTTCTGAAATTATATATTTAATTCGAAACTTAACCTCCGCATAAAAGTGATTAGTTCAACAAATTTGTTCCGAAAAAAATAAAAAAAAAAAACTTTCAGCAGTTGATATTCAAAAATAATGAAATAAATTGATAGTTGATGTCTGAATATAATGAAATAATTTGACACTGGTTGTCCGACTAAAAACCGCGAAAGGAAAAAAAAAAAAATTATGCATGAAAAAAAACTAAATTTTTATCACTAATAGAATATAAATTTAGAGGTGAAAATAATATGAGAGTGATGTTTTGCAAGTAATAGAGGAGTATACAGTGTGTAGCAAGCAAAGTGACAACAATGAAAAAGTTAGGGTTTAGTTTTTTTTTACTCAAAAGGTATATATTGAGATTTTTATTTTTATTTTTAAAAGATGTGTACAGAAAATATTTTCATATAATATATTATAGATGCTAGTAGATGTCCATTATGATCATTTTTGTTTAAGGCATAATAACTATTAAAATAATATTTTATTAAATATGTGCACTAAAATAATTAAGTGTAAAAATAAAATTTCCCTATAAAAAATCAATCTAAAATCACTTTATAAAAAACCACTCTATGATCGGTTGGGAAATCATTCAGTATTTTCGGAATGTCACATGTCCGTACTCCTAACAAATCATTATTTATTATGTTTCCTCATATCCCTCAATTACCCAATACAATACCATACCTACTCACTTACTCATATTTTCAACCAATTATAATACTATAAAATGGAAAATGGTAGGCATCATGAAAAATGCTCCATAAAAATAATCATGAACAAATCTTCATCCTTGTATTACACTTTGTAACTTATTGGCTCCGTTTGGTGTAGCTGTTAAAACAACTTATAGATTATAGCTTAACAGATTATAAATTATGACTTTAATCAGAAGTTGTTAATCTGTTTGGTGTAACTGTTGGATTATAGATTTAAGTTGTTGAGTAGTGTTTGTTAAATAAGTTGTGAAATAGCTATTTCAATTAATTTTTGTTTTTTATTTGTCTACATTTCTCATAAAAAAAAAAATAATAATCTATAGTCCATTTGAGTTTTTTTCTATTTTTAAAAAAATAAAAAATAAAAAAATTTAAGAGTATAACCATAAATTAACATATCCACAGCAGAAGCTGATAATCAGAAACAAGGGATGAGCAACTTCTCAGAATCAGCTTTTTTGAGTTAAAATAAGCTGTTAGAATCAGAAGTTATTTGAAATAAATTTAACCAAACAATCCAAAATAACTTTTTCAAAGCTAAAAGGCATAAGTTGACTCTGAAAAACTGAAACAAACACTCCCATTATATATCTAATTTAAAAATAAAAAAACTTTCATAATTATTGTTATGAAATACTTTTCATCACATCTAACACTTGTCCTGGCTGGCCTACGTTGAGTCCACTTAAGTTTGAGACCACTTAAGTTGAGATCAAACCCAACTTGGAACACGCAGAGAAGGAATACAGTATGGCGTGCCTCTAGAAACTTGATTCCCTCCCTCTCTCCTTCTCTCTCTTCAAAACCCTATTTAAATACAAGGCTTTACTCACCAATTTCTCCCAAGTTCCATGCAATTGTCTTCTTGGCTCCTTCACCCCCCACACATCCCCACTTCCTCACTGTTCTCTCTTTCTCTCTCTTGAAAGCACCACAATCACTCTTTCTCCATAACTTGTCGCTGACAGTCATCACACTATATCTCTTTCTCTCCACTTCACTTCAAGCTGTTTAACCATTTTTCAGTTGTGATATAGCTCACATTGTTCTCTTGTCTTCTCTTCTCTCTGACAAATTTAATCCCATTTGTCTCTCTTTGACTAGTTTCTCTGATAGAACTATACCATTATTAACTTGATAAATAGCTTACATATATATATATATATATATAAATAAGTGAAGTGAAGAGAAGAGATGTCTGGCAGAAGATCACGATCAAGACAATCAGGAGGAGGAGGTGGAGGAGGAGGAGCAGGAGTTTCAAGGAGTAACATTAGCGACGACCAAATCAATGATCTTGTTTCCAAGCTACAAGAACTTCTTCCCGAGCTTCGCCATAGGCGCTCTGATAAGGTGCTTTCTTTCATTTTTAAATCTCATCCTTTTGATCTCGAAAAAATAAATAAAAAAGAAACAAAAATATTATTTACTCGAAATACAAAATAGTACATTACATACATTTTGTTCACCGGGTCAACAAAATAGCTTTCTATCCACAAGACATTTTTTTTCTACTCAAAAAAATTTTTTTAAATTAAAATGAAAATATAGGGACTAGATTTATTGAAATTGTAACAAGAAATTTAAATCTACACCTTACATTTAAAATTCTAAGTAATTTTCCCCTTGTGTTTTTGGACACATATTTGCTTTGGGGGTAAATTTGTTGACCAAGGTTTAAAAAAAAAATTAAGTGGGTCTGGTTTAAAATAGTGGACCCATTATGTTAATTAATTAGAAATGAGAACATTATTCACTCACTTGTCAAATGAACAAAAAAATAGACTAAAAAGAGGGTTTTAGTTGCATAATTAGATTTTGTTAAGCAAAGTAAGTGTGAACTAAGCTAATTACATTATGGAAGTCCCCCAATGGATTGAAATTCAGTTCCTCCTATCCTATACTAAAAGTTTTTGGAGTGAAAAAGGTCATCCTTTTTTCTTTTCTTTTTTTTTAAGAACTTTTGAAACAAAGAAAAGAAAGATCTTAAAAAATTATTAAAATAAAAAATATAAAAGATTCCATAGTTTTTAAGTTCAATCAATTCTATTGAAAGTCTTCGCTTTATTATATATGTTAAAACAAGTGTGTCAGCCAGACAATTAAATCATAGAATAAAATACAAAATAAAGACGAAGGATGGGTTCACATGTATGGCTCCACATGCACTTTTTTATATCTATTTTGTAATCTGTTATGTAGTTTAATTTTGTTCAACCAAAACTTTTCCATGTTCAAGATTTCTAATTCAGTTGAAAATTATGCAGGTATCAGCAACGAAGGTGTTACAGGAGACATGCAACTACATAAGAAACTTGCACAGGGAGGTCGATGACCTAAGTGAGCGACTTTCAGAGTTATTGGCAACCTCAGATAGCGCTCAAGCTGCCATGATTAGGAGCTTACTCATGCAATAGGCCTATGCATTGTTTTTTTTTTTTTTTTGCTTTTTGTTTTCTTTTTGTGCTTCTCTTTTCTCAGTCAGTCTAGGGTTTTGTCACTAGACCAAAAAATAATTTGCAATTTGGTGACTAGATCGATCAGAATCCAATATGTAAGGTTGTGCTTAGTTAATTACTTGAGAATAAAAAGGAGTTAGTGCTCACAAAGGCACCTATTTTGCCGCAAATATAATAAAAATGAAATATAAATTAATAATTTGTATAAAATAATTTTTTTAACAATGTGACATACAATAGTAAATTTTTGAAATTTGAAATAAGATCCAATTTGATAATTTGATAAGAGCTACATCAGCGAGTAAGAAAGCTTTTTAAAATTTATTACTTTATTTGTAGCATTACCCATTTTGCTATGTTGATTACAGCATAAGTCCACACTTATCAAAGTAAACAATGCCATGAAATTAAAAAAATAGCTCAAAAATTAACCACAAAAATAAAATGTATAGACTAAATTCATTAAGTATGGCTAACATAGGAATAAAATTGGATTATACCATATATTTCATTTTGGAACCACTTTTCGATATACTCCTTTTGATTTTATAGTTTTTTTCAAGACCTAGTTATGGGGTTATAGTTGGCATTGATTTTTCACTTGAATAGCCCTTGTATTTGATGCTAGAATACCCACGATACTACAGGGGTTAGTAAAATTACATTGAGATAATAGAGACTAAGGAATAATTTCATTCCTGATTGATCTATTTCAACTAAATTGGCACACACCCTTAACAAATCTCAAGCCTTTGTAACAAAAATGATATAAGAAAGAACCTCAACTCCATTTCATAATCATTGGAAATTTGAAGTTAACAGTTATAACACAAAACAAATCATAAAATGAACTACAAAACAATCACACACATGCATGAGGCCCGACAACAATTATGGAGTTCACGTGCAGGTGCGCAAGTATTCTGTAGTTCATGTTATGGTTCGTTCTATGTTTTTAAGCTTATTGTAGACCTCCCTATAGGCTTGCCTCTAACATGTAGTGATAGATCCATTTCCAACTATAGAAACTTTTGGTCCTTTTCAAGGGTGAAATATAGAGTTCATCCGTCTACCATTCTTGAAAATAGTAATCCATACATGTCCTATTTTTCATCTTTTCTTGGGAGTATGGCAATCCTGTTTTCTGGCACTAAAAAACAAGTTCAATGGCTGTTTGGGGATAAGCAACAATAACCCTTTTTTACTCCACTAATATTTGCAGTGCACAAATGCATGTATATGTGAAAACAGTGTGGATGTGTGTGAAAGTAACCAATAATTGCAAGATCAAAACATATAAAAAAAAGTAGTTCATAGTGAAATGAAGAGCTTATCATAGTTGTTGAAAGGATTTAATTTGAATTGAAATATGAGAGAAGCCAGTAGAATTCAAATTATGGAACTTTGGTATGTTGCAACTTTGGTATTTTTATGCACAAATTTGTGAAAATTACTATGAAAGTAGGGAATAAGAATTATTATATAAGTAGAACTAACCATTGAACACGGCACTGAGAAAAATGAGCAATTTTATTGTGGTATAAGATTGATCAAAATCTTTAAGGATTGCACGGATTCAAACTGTTAGACGCAGAACCCAACTCCTATTTGGAAGTATAGTCCACTATGATTCACCCTAACGGTGAATTTCGCAGTTTGTCACTTTGAACAATGATTATATTTAATGTTAGGGGCCCAACATCACTTAAATGTCATTACTATAAAAAATAAAAAAATAAAAAATGAGAGTATGCTACCTCACGAGGTAAACAAGAAATGAGAAGAAGAGATGAACATCTCTGTCATTATTTTTTCAAAAAACAAAAAAAAATCAAAACTCGCATTTAAAAAATTAAACCACACAAAATGTTTTTTTGTCCTTCGAGGAGAATGGTTCCTTATAAATTGTGCACCAAAAAACTATGCCAACTGATACTATATAACAAATTTGGACATTAGTAAGAAATTACTATCCCATTGTCACCAAATTTTTTGTCTCAAAAAGTAAATGTTTTGGAATAAAATTATTGTCTTTAAATGTGTATTTATTAATGACATTTTTAAAATTGCCTATAAAAGTCTCTTTTTTTTTAATTTTTTTTTAAGAATTATTTTTCCGTGACAACTCACATGACAAAAAAAAATTCATCTCTTAATTTTTTATAATAAAATTTTTATTTTTCTGATAAAAAAAAATTAATCCCTTAAAACTCTGTTATGTTGTAGTGTGATGGCACATAATTAAAAATATTTTGACATAAAGGGGAAATTACAACCAACACATTCAAGCAAAGGTTAAATGGGCTGTTATCGCAAAAGCATGTTGTCTAATGGCTACTAGGTCTAGCCCACTAGAGAATGGGCTCGTTCAAGCGATTGGGCCAGAGTCCAACAGAGATAATTGACTTGATGGGGTGATTTTATTTTGCACCCAAATAATAACTGCTCAACTTAAAATTTGAAATTTTAGTTTCAATTATATTGTAACGTAAATTTACTAATAAAAATAATACGCATTAAATCCTAAAATAAAAAATATTTTTTTTCCTGGTACATTCAAATCATTTATATATATTCTTCATATTTAATCCTCTTTATCTTCTTCTTAAAGTTTCAATTATTTTATTTTCATCTCATTCTTTACTTCAAAACTCCAATTCACCCCGTCAAAACTCACAATTATTATCAATATAATTGTTTCTTATTATGTTGTTATAGTTTTTTATTTTGGATTTTTTTATCCGTTAATCGGAACTTCAGATTCAACAATACAACTTGTCTTTTATATTTCTCTTATAGTAATTTGTTTTTGATTAGTTTCATTTCATTTTGATGATTTTAATTGAATATTGAGATAAAAGTAGTAGTTGCTGTAAAAAAAAATAAAAAATTGGTGAAGAGAAAGAATTGTAGTTTCGATGATTTGAATAATTGCTTTTATCATAGCTTTAATTGGGTGTCCTGGAATTTTTGAGTTTCACGATTTTATTCTTTTAAGTTTTTCAGGTGAGAATGGTTATCTAACAAAAACGATCTAACATATACAAATAAATCAAGAAAAAAAAATACAAAATTGGCTAAATAGTCTGTAAATCATATCTATAAATGCATATATCACTACAAAAAAATACACTTTTGGCGACTAAAAACTTAGTCGCCAAAAGTATTAAATTTCGTCGCCAAAACACATTCCCGACTAAATAATTTGGTCGCTGGCTTCGTCGGAGATACATAGTCGCCTAAGGAATTAGCGACTAAACTACATTTAGTCGCCATAAGTAGTATACAATACCGACTAACCTTTTAGTAGGCAAAAATAATAGGTATTAGCGACTAAAAGATCCGTAGTCGCTGATAAGGGACATTAGCGACTAAAATGTTAGTTGCCGAATCGGTTGATTAATTCCTTTAACTCACATATTTAGCTACTACATGTTTTTGTCGCAAAAAGGTAAAATATCTTCGGCGACGAAATGTTTAGTCGCCAATAGTGAAACTTTCACCTACTACATGTTTAGTCGCCATAGTTACTTACTATATTTTGGCGACGAAAAACTTTAGTCGCTAAAAAGATGTTGGATTTTAGCTACTAAACACCTTAGTCGGCCATAGTTATTTTGTTATGTTTTCGAGTTGTTTGGCTACTAAACATTTAGTCGCCAAAAGCCTTTTGATTTTTAGCTACCACACATTTAGTCGCCATAACTATTTTGAAGTTGTTTTGGCTACTAAATTATTAGTCACCAAAAGTAGTTTGAGTTTTAACTACCAAACATTTAGTCGCCAAAATTTTTTTTTCTTTTTAACTACCAATTTCATTGTCACAAAAAACGTCATTTATTTCATTTTGTCGAGTTTTATTTTATATTATATATCCACCGCAACCTGTACGTATACAACCTATATATATTATCACCTATTCCGTAATATATGTTTCACTTAGAACCATGAAACAAAAATGAACACCTGCTATATATACTCCAACTACAAATAATAATATAAACTTATGTACGAACCAACTATATATATTTCAATTACAAATAATGTCATACATTCCAAATACGTTACCAAAACAATGTCCTCTATACACAACATTTTTACTATATACTATGCATTGTAATGACCATTTGACAAGGTACAAATTACTATGGTAATATGTACCATGACAAAAGGTAATCTATATTAATTAATACTAGAGCCATTAATACAAGCTCCAAAAATTAAATGAAACTTTGACTCAAACAACTTCACTAAATCCTAAATTAAAAAAATTAAAATACCTCAAAAAGATGTATCCTCTCATCAACATCAAAAGTTAGATTTTCAGAAAGCCAAAGAACAGCCCGTTTCAAATTCTGTGTTGTTCCCCAATGATAACAAGGCTGAGAAACAGAAACAGTATTAACATATACTCTGTTACAAATACTTCAGTGGCACAATCAGTAATAATATTGAAATAAAATTAAATACAAAGATATTTGGTGACAGCATAAGAAGGGCATATAAGATAAAAATACAAGTACATTGATTTTTAAGAACTTGTCTCTAAGAAAGAGTATATCATACCTGGATAGCGATTCTACAAGTGTGAGGGCAGATCCATGATGCTGTTGTGGCAAATGTTCGAGCTAAAATTTGAAACAGTAGGTATTTTAAATTATCCATTTAAAGCTGAACACTGCAACAGATTTAAAAAATAAATAATTACCTTCAAATTTCCTAGCTCGACAAGGGAGTCGGTGAATGTTTTGGCTAGAGGCTTTAGTTCATCATGCTACAGAACCAATAGACCACAACTTCATAATATTCATCAAATATAAATAATATCTCATATAGTGGGAACTAGAACTGACCGGAAAAGCATAAGTCATATAGTTGTCATAAGCATGGTAAAACCTGAAAGGGAGAAAAAGCAGAGGCACATTTGGAACATAGAAATCGCAGAAACAAAGGCACATTTAAACGATACAAACAGAATCCAAAATCAACAATCCAAAATCCAAATGGACAATCGCAATTTCAACCACATCCATTCACGAAATCAGGAAAAGCCTGAAAATTTGTGTACAAAATAAATGGGAAATGAAAGGACAAACCCTAAAATTTGTGTACGAAATAAAGGGAAATGAAATGTCAAACCCTAAAATTAA